GCCACCGCGCCCGGCCTTTTTTTTTTTTTTTTTTCAATCTGAAATTTGAAACACTTCTTATCTCAAGCATTTAGGATAACGGATACTCAACCTATAGTTGTTTAAGTTATGAGAGAGTGCGAGGCTCAAGACAAAACAATGGGAATTCCATCTTGTTATCTGGAATGTTTTCAGCGGCAAGTAATAAAGTCTAACAATAAAATCTTCTTTAAGAGTAAGGGCATTGGCCGGGCGTGGTGGCTCACGCCTATAATCCCAGCACTTTGGGAGGCTGAGGTGGGCAGATCACCTAAGGTCAGCAGTTCGAGACCACCCTGGCCAACATGGAGAAACCCCATCTCTATTAAAAAAAAAAAGAGTAAGAGGATTGACCAGCCAGGCACTTGTGGTGGCTCACACCTGTAATCTCAGCACTTTGGGAGGCTGAGGTGGGAGGATCCCTTGTGCCCAGGAGTTCAAGACCAGCCTGAGCATCATAGGGAGACCCCCATCTCTACAAAAATAATAAATAAATTATTCATTAGCTGGGCATGGTGGTGGTGTGTGCTTGTTGTCCCAGCTACTTGGGAGGCTGAGGTGGGAGGACTGCCTGAGCCTGGGAGGTCGAGGCTGTGGTGAACTATGATTGTGTCACTGCACTCCAGCCTGGATGACAGAGTGAGACCTTGTCTCAAAAAAAAGTAAAGGGGATTTATTAGGTTAGTGTGTGAACATCCAGTGGTAGGGTGGGCTTCAGGGTTTTTTGATGAGGATTCTGACACCATTTTTCTGTGATTATTTTTGTCCCACCACCTTCTTGAGTCAGGTTTGTTCTGAATCCTGCTTTCCTCATGGAGGTAAAGTGACTCCAGTTGATTGCAAGATTCCATCAGCAAACTGCATATTCTAGGAGACAGCATCTATGTTCCTGAATTCCTGGCAGAAGTTCTAAGCTTTGAGCTGGTTGATCAGTGTTGAGGTAGGGCATTGTTACCAAGAAAAAGGGATCCCCTCTAATTGGTTAAGAGCAGTCAGGGCTTATCCATGAAGATGGGTTAGTCCAACCAAAAGGGCATGGCTGCTGTACTAGGAGGCGAGATAGAGTGGATGCTTGCCGGGAAAACACAAAGTTCACTCTAATAATCTGTCATCCGTCATAAAGGAAAGAGCCAGTGAAAAACAGGGAAATGGTAAGAGAGATTAAAAGAGGGTCTTAGAGAAATGCCTCAGTCCACAGTAGAGTTTTGGAGAGTGGAAAGGTTTTTTTAATTCCTTTTCTGTTTGTTTTTTGAGACAGGCTCTGGCTGTGTTGCCCAGGCTGGAATGCAGTGGTGCCCTTCTGGCTCACCACAGCCTTGAACTCCTGGGCTCAAGCGATCCTCTCACCTTATCTTCCAGAGTAGCTGGGACTACAGGCATAAATAGAAAGGGTTTTGAAGAAGAAGGACTGGCACTGTAAATTCAAACAGCCTTTGGATTTGATAGGAGACCACCAGTGAGCTTAGAACAATGCCTACAGTCGAGTAGTAAGAATCAGATGGTGTGTTGGTGATGAACAAATATATGGCAATGATATAGAAACAGCAAATGTATGTATTTTTCTTTTTTTAAAGAAATTAGTAAATAGAAGATGGTAGTTTAAGGAAGAACTGGATTAAGGGAGGTTAAAAAGTAAATTGTAAAAAAATTTATAAGAGACTTTGGGGTGGGTGCAAGTAGCTCACGTCTGTAATCCCAGCATTTTCAGAGGCCGAGGTGGGTGTATCATGATGTCAAGAGAGGGAGACCATCCTGACCAACATGGTGAAACCCATCTCTACTAAAAATACAAAAATTAACTCGACACACACCTGTAGTCCCAGCTACATGGGAAGCTGAGGCAGGAGAATCATGCAGAGGTTGCAGTGAGTCAAGATGGCACCACAGCACTCTAGCCTGGTGACAGAGCCAGATTCTGTCTCAAAAAAAAAAAAAGAAAAAGAAAAAGAGAGACTTTCTGCCCTTGTTTGCTGGATGAAGAGAATGAGTTTATGGCTTGAGTCAGGCAGTCTTGGTTTGACCTCTGGCTCTAAAGACAGCTTCCTGTATGGCCCTGAACAAGCTACTCAATTTTCATAGCTTCTGATTAATAATGAACATAATAAACATTTCATAGGAAAGCTGTAAGGGTTAAGTAAGATAATGTAATTGTGGAACAGATTTGTCAACTAACTTGTTATACAAATATTAGTTGGTAGTAAGCACATTGTTTATTTAAACCCTATCTTCTCATAAAAGAATGTAAGTTATGTTAGAAATAATATATGTAGAGCTGAAAGGTATGTAGAGTTGAGAAAGGAGAAAGGCAAGTGAAAGAGGAGAAAGAATAAATGAGAATATGTGAATTAAGAAAGCATGACCCCAGTTCAAAAACAGTTGTTCCTGTTAGCATGCCGTGTAACTGCAAAGCCAAAAGCCCTTAGACGTAATTTTTGCTAGCAGTATTTTGTGTGGCCCCAGGGAGAGGCCTCTTGTTGACTTCTATATATACAGTTTCAGTTCCTTTTGTAATAAAAAGAAAGGAACACAGTACAGAAAGGCTATTGTTTAGGTTATCAAGACGACTTTTATTTGAAGTTGTTGCAAATAGGAGCAATGGTGATAATAATGTTTAATAGTGATAATAATAAATAAATGTTTGATAGTAGCAGGTGCTGTCATTTTATATCCCTAAGCTAGCGTATGATTGATTTTAGCTTTGTCTGACTCTAAAAATACTTTTAGCTACATTCTAGTCGAACTAATTCTAAAGTTCTTTGATGATACATTCTTATTAGTTAAGTTGGTAGACCTTTTACAGTCATCAAATAGAATTTTATTCCTATGTATTTATTTCTTAGGTTGAACAGTATCACATTCTATGCTTCATTTTAAGCAGTCTGGCCGGGCATGGTGGCTCATGCCTGTAATCCCAACACTTTGGGAGGCTGAGGGGGTGGATCACCTGAGGTCAGGAGTTTGAGACCAGCCTGGCCAACATGGTGAATCCCTGTCTCTACTAAAAAGAAAAGAAAAAAAATGTTTAAGCAGTCTGATGTTTTCAATTATACAGGGAGAATAACGTTACCTACTTTATATTGTGATAGTAAAGATAGAATGAGCTAAAACAAAACAAAAACCAGCTTAGAATGGTGCCAGGCATGGTTGTTAGTAGCTAGCATTATTGTTCTCGTTATTACTTCTTCATCAGTACTTGACATAAACCAGAAAACACTATGTGAATGGGTACTTCAACATACAAGAATCATTGAAAACATTTGGGGATTTAGTTTTGAATAAATTAAGAATAGTAAGTTTCCTTAACTACAACTCAGATTCCATGCTGGTTTCCATTGTGGGGATGGCACTATACACAGGATACGTCTTCATGCCCCAGCACATCATGGCGATATTGCATTACTTTGAAATTGTGCAATGACCAAGATGCGACCAGGATCAGAGGTTCCTTGGGGAAGACCCACCCTATGAAGTTGGAATGAGACCATCAGATGTGATAGGAAACTCTTCTAGATGTCAACATAACCAACCTTATAAAGACTAAAATTCATGAGTACAACAGGAAAATCATCCTGACTCATGTGTTGTGTTATTTTTAATTTTCAAAGAGGCTCCTGTATAGCAGTTTTTGTCTATTTTAACATTGTAGCCATTTGTACTTTGATATCAGTATTTTCTTAACCTTTGTGACTGTTTCAATATTACCCCTGTGAAAGCTTTTCTTAATGTAACTTTGAGTACATTTTAATTGCCTTCTATTTTTAAAACTCAAAATCATTAGTTGGGCTTTACTGTTCTTGCTATTGTATGGCATATACATCTGCCTGGATATATTTCTACTCTTGACCAAAGTTTTGTAAGAACAATATAAGATTTCGGGTAGGGGTATGGGGAGGGAAGATATTTTATTCAGAACTACTTACAAAAGACTTATCTGTAAGCTTGAACTCAGGAGTACAGTTTTAGCTATCTAGACTCTTAACAGCTTTTGCTTTAAAACTATTAAAGTGTTTCTTAATGAAAAAGAAAAGATCTTTAGCTAAAGTTAAAATAAGAAACATTTCACCTTTTAAATATTTAATTATTTGTGCATTTATTTCCAGAAAACTTTGGTGATAATTATTGAGACAAAAGGTGGTTAAGTAGCATTATTATGTAATGCTTATATATCATAGATTTTTTAATAGAAGATAAATCCATTTCCTTTGAGGGTCACTGTTAACAGTGTACTTCCTTAAATTTAGTTTAATGACTGTAATGGGTGCTGCATTTGCACACTGCATTAAGTTATGATGAGATGAATTGTTGTTAAAAATTATAGCAAAAACAAATGTAAACTTGGTTAAAATCCTTTCACTCTTTGTATTTTTTTTTTAAGATTTTTATTCCTTAAATGTAAAATGACTACCTAATTTTTTGATGTAAATTCATTAAATGCAAAGAGAAAAAAAATCAGCTGATGTAGCAGTTTATCTTTTTCTTGATGGTTAAATATTGACCTAGTATTTATGTTTCTGAATTGCTTTCTGTCTGTGGAGGACAAGATAAGCAGTAAGTATGTCTTATTGTATGTCTTGCAACATAAAAATATTGCTAACTAAAAATTAGGCATTATGTGTTTTAACATGCTTTCCAGCATACGTTTTACTAATTTTTAAAATTCAGGTTTTTGTTTGTTTGTTTTGTTTTTTTGAGATGGAGTCTTGCTCTGTTGCCCAGACTGGAGTGCAATGGCACAATTTTGGCTCACTGCAACTTCTGCCTCCCAGGTTCAGGCGGTTCTCCTGCCTCGGCCTCCTGAGTAGCTGGGATTACAGGCATGTGCCACCACACCTGGCTAATTTTTTGTATCTTTAGTAGAGACAGGATTTCACCGTGTTGGCCAGGCTGATCTGGAACTCCTTACCTAATGATCCACCACCTCAGCCTCCCAAAGTGCTGGGATTACAGGCGTGAGCCACTGCTCCTGGCCAAAATTTAGGTATTTTTTGCCCTAAATTTTAAGGACTAGACTTTTGAAGTATTTTATAGTTTAGAGGTCTCGAGTAATATATAAATGTTTAATATTTTTAGAGTCAATTTATATCATCACAATAGATAGGGGTAGTGAGAATAATATGTAATTACTTGGTTTGGAGTAGTCAAAAATTGGATATGGTTATATCTGAACGATAGTCATACTATCTCAAGAAAAATAACATGAGGATTTAACATAAATCCTCATGTTCTGTTAATGCCCAAATTAGGCTTTCCTCCACTACCCTCCATAGAGAACCACTGACAGGTGGATGTCTAATATTCCTCTTGGTGGGTTGAAGGCAGGAGAAGTTGAGAATCACTAGTTTCAGTGGATAGCCAGATGACCTATCCTGGCCTTCCATTCAGAAATCTGCAATTTGTCCTTACTCTTTGCTGAAATTCATTAAATTGCTGTTGTGTAACTGATGGTTATTATGAACACTGACCTGTGAGACATATGGAAGATAAAGCTTAGTCTTACAGGAAACTTTGAGGAGAGTCAAAAGGGAAATGGGAGCATGTCTATTGAGAGGTGATCAGGGAAGCTTATGCTCACTGTCTGATGCAAATGTCTGGTCTATTTGTTAGTAAATAACAAATGGGGAAATCATTTTCACTTTTTGTTTAAAATAAGCTATTTATAAGCATACCTTGTAGTTATTGTGGGTTCAGTTTCAGACCACTGCAATAAAGTGAATATCTCAATAAAGTGAGTCACATGAAGTTTTTTGGTTTTCCCCTGCATACAACAGTTACATTTACACCATCCTGTAGTCTGTTAAGTGTGCAATAACATTATGTCTTTAAAAAAACCTCAATGTACCTATTTTAATTAAAAAATTCTTTATTGCTAAAAAAGCTAATGATTATTTGAGCCTTCAGCAAGTCATAATTTTTTGTTGGAGGGTCTTGCCATGATATTGATGGCTGCTGACTGATCTGGATCATGGTTGTGGAAGGTTGGGGTGGCTGTGACAATTTCTTAAAATAAGACAATAGTAAAGTTTGCTGCATTGATTAACTTTTCCACTCATGAAAGATTTCTCTGTAGCATATAATGCTATTTGATGGCCTTTTACCCACAACAGAACTTCCTCCAAGATTGGAATCAATCCTTTCAACCCCTGCTGCTGCTTTATCGACTAATTTTATAAAATATTCTAAATCCTTTGTTGTAATTTCAGTAATGTTCATAGCATCTTCACCAGGCAAAATCTTGTCCAAGTTTTATCATGAGATTGCAGTAATTCAGTCACATCCTTAGACTCCACTTATAATTTTGCTATTTTTAACACATCTGCAGTTAACTTCCTCCACTGAAGTTTTGAACTTCTCCAAGTAATCCATAAAAATTGCAATCAACTTCTTTCTGACTCCTGTTACTGTTGATACTTTGACCTCCTCCAATCATAAATCTTAATGGCATCTAGAATGGTAAATCATTTCTGGAAGGTTTTCAACTGACTGCCTAGGTCCATTAGAGTAATCACTACCTATGGCAGCTATAGCCTTACAAAATGTACTTCTTTAATAAAGACCTCAAAGTCAAAGTAATTCCTTGATCCACGGGCCACAGAATGGATGTTGTGTTGGCAGGCATGAAAATGATATTATTTCCTTGTACATCTCCATCAGAGCTCTTGTGTGAATAGATGCATTCTTAATGAGCAGTAATATTTTGAAGAGAATCTTCAAAATAGTAGTAGGTCTCAACAGTGGGCTTAAAATATTTAGCAAACCATGCTGTAAACAGATGTGCTGTCATCAGTCTTTATTGTTCCTTTAATAGAACACAGGCAGAGTAGATTTAGCATAATTCTAAGGGCCCTGGGATTTTTGGAATGGTAAAAAACATTAGTTTCAACTTAAAGTTACTGGCTGCATTAACCCCTAACAAGAGCCAGCCTTTGAAATTTTGAAACCAGGCCCTGACTTCTCTCTAGCTATGTCAATTCTAAATGGTGTCTTCTTCCAATACAAGGCTGTTTTATCTACAATGGAGATCTTATTTAGTATAGCCGTCTCTTCAGTGATCTTAGCCATAGTCGCATAATTTGCCACAACATCTACATTAGCATTTGCTGCTTCACCTTTATCTTAAAAAAGATGGCTTCTTTCCTTAAACCTCATGAACCAACTTTTACTACCTTCAAACTTTCTTCTGCAGCTACCTCACCTCTCCCAACCTTCACAGAATTGGAGAGTTAGGGCCTTGCTCTGGATTAGGGCTTTAGCTTAAGGAAATATTGTGGCTGGTTTGATGTTTTATCCAGACCATTAAAACTTTATTCATTTTCAGCAATAAGTCTGTTATACCTTCTTACCATTCATGTGTTCACAGGAGTAGCATTTCTAGCTTTTAAAAAATTTATTATTATTTTTTTCCCTATCTTTCAGTAGCCTGGAAGATTTCTAGCTTTTAATTTAAAGTGAGAAATGTGGCCAGGCATGGTGCCTTCTGTCTGTAATCCCAGCACTTTGGGAGGCTGAGGTGGGAGGACTGCTTGAGCTCAGGAGTTTGAGACCAGCCTGGGCAACATGGCACAACCCCATTTCTACAAAAAATTAACCAGGCATGGTGGTATGCACCTGTAGCCACAGCAACTTGGGAGGCTGATGTGGGGGGATGGCTTGAGCCTGTAGGGGTTGAGGCTGCAGTCAGCCATGGTTGCATCACTGCACTCCAGCCTAGGTGACAGAGCAAGACCCTGTCTCAAAAAATAATAGAGAAATGTATGACTCTGATATTCATGTGAACATTTAGAGGCCATTGTAGGATTATTAATTGGTCTAATTTCAATAGTGTTATGCCTTAGGGAATAAGGAGGCTTGAGGAGAGGGAGAGAAACAGAAGAACTGCTGGTCAGTGGAGCGGTGAGAACATACACATTTATCAATTAAGTTCACCTGTTACATGGTTTGTAGCACCTCAAAACAATAACATCAAAGATGACTGATCACAGATCACCATAACAGATACATTAATAATGAAAAAGTTTGAAATGTTGCAGGAATTACCAAAATGTGATGCAGAGATATGAAGTGAGCACTTGAGGCTGGAAAAATGGTGCCACAGAATTACAGGGTCTATCGAAGGTTGCTACAAACCTTCAGTGTGTAAAAAATGCAGTGTCTGTGATGCACAACAAAGTGATGTGCAATTAAATGAGGTATGGCTAATTAGATAATTCTCCATGGACCTCTGTGTTTCTGTGTATCTTTTTTTTTTTTTTTTTGAGACGGAGTTTCGCTCTTGTTACCCAGGCTGGAGTGCAATGGCGCAATCTCGGCTTACCGCAACCTCCGCCTCCTGGGTTCAGGCAATTCTCCTGCCTCAGCCTCCTGAGTAGCTGGGACTACAGGCACGCGCCACCATGCCCAGCTGAATTTTTGTATTTTTTTAGTAAATACGGGGTTTCACCATGTTGACCAGGATGGTCTCGATCTCTTGACCTTGTGATCCACCCGCCTCAGCCTCCCAAAGTGCTGGGATTACAGGCGTGAGCCACCGCGCCCGGCCGTTTCTGTGTATCTTATAAGCAGATATACTGACTACATTATTTTTCAAGGATGTTTCTATGATAGAAAAGACAGAGATAGTGTCTCCCTCCAAAATGAAGTGCAAGTTTATTTAGTCTTGGAAGATAGAGAGTGTCTCTTTCTGGACCAAAGGGCATGATAAAAGCTTTAGATTCCCTATGCTCATGGTTCCTTTCCTGTAATGCAACTATCTGCATGTACAGATATCACCTGGTCTTTGCATTGCCCTGTGGGAACTGGGGCTTGGGAATCAGAACAAGAAAATGTTGGTATTTTGACTATTGTTGTGAGTAATAAAGTTCTTTGTCTCTTACCCTGAATTTCATGTCTTCTGCTAGCATCTACTGTCAGACCAGCTTGCAAGTAGAATAAAATCTCAGACTTTTCATAGTTCTTGACAGTTTAGGTGATGAGGATGGGGTGCTGACAGATGTCTTCTGGAAAAGGAGGGATAATGAACCCATAAACTTGGATCGTGAGGTAAATGCATTTGCCCAAGTATTGGGTGAGTTAAGAGAATAAGGATCCCCTAATATCCTACTTGTTAATTGACAGGGGCTGTGCGTGAGAAGTAGGATGGAAACAGCTGCCTAAATGGTGCTTCAGTTGCTACTCTCCTCTGGGCAGTTAGAAAAAGGGATCTTATGACAATGGGACAACAGGTGCTATGGTCCTGGATTAGGGGCAATGGTAGCTATGGCTACTAAGCTAAAGAATCCCCAGAGTGGAAACAAATAATGTGAGCAGTGAGGAGATGCTATTTAATACAGACCTTTTGGTGGTCTGAAAACCTCAGAAGCTCATTCAGATGAGCCATGAGTGAGGGCCACTTGAAAATGAAATTGAATGCAGTCTCAATTTTCTCAAAGAAAGCTGTTCTTCTTCTGTGTCCT